GACACCAAGGTCAATGGCCTTGTGCCCTTACGGTGCCTGTATACTAAAAATAGCTTTTTTATCTGCAAACTTTAACCTTCGCCATGACTTTTGAACCAAGAAAGACACAGATTTCATATTTGGTATGCATTCTCCACTAATTTAGCTCTTTCATATGACACCAAGGTTAATGACCTTGTGACCTTGACTGTGACCTGTATGCCAAAAAATATTTTTTTTGCACCTTTGCCATAACTTTCGAACCACAAGAGATAGAGACTTTCTATATGGTATCCATACATAACTAATTACGCTCTTTCAAATGACACCAGAGTGATGGGACTTGTAACCTTGACTGTCAAGTACATGCTAAAAATAGCTTTTTAAAAAAATTGTTGCAGCCGGGTGCATAGTGTTTCACAAACACATCTTGATTTTTTATATACAATTGCACGAATACCGTATAGCGGGTTATTTTGACGGGGTGCTAATTTTGGCTTATTTTGGCGTTTTGATGGCAGCCCGCTAAAATTTTAATCGCTAAAATAGTTAGTTAACAGTTAACTTAGTCTTCTTAGTGTTCATCTACAAAGAAATGAAACCCCGTGTCTGCTAAAATAAATTACGCCAAAATTATTGGCATACCTTTCAGCCAAATTTTACACTCGCCAAGAAAACCCGCTATACGGTATACTACACGTTTTGATAATGTAAGCGCAACATTTTTACATAAAAAATATGTAATTAAAATGTTATTTGTGTATATTGCTGATGCCTTTCCTAAAATGCAAGTTAATACTATTTGACACCTTTAAAACAATTTTTGTTGTTTAAATTTATAAAAAGAAAAAGAAAATGAAAAATTTAACTAGGGGAGATTCTATTGGCATATTGTAGAGGACCCTTGTGACAGAGTTAGGGTACATTGGACAAAATTACACTGGCAAGATACACGTTCTATTTAGTGGTTTTATATAAGCCCAGTGAATGCATCTTTTTGTTAATATCATTACAAATGATATTCACCTATATAACAGTGTAGCAAGAAACAATCAAAATTAATTTAAAGAGAAATGCGAGGTGTTTAACACTGATGGTGACAGGGGTTGGGTTCTCAGGGATAACTACAATGATTTTTAATTTGGGTTTTTCCTAGATTTAAGTTTTTGTTTATGCCAGTTACTTTGGGATGAATTTCACATTTTATCGGAAGAAGTCACCTCGATTCAGTACTCTGATTTCAAACCGTGTAAACGTGGTCCGATATTAACGCACCTTGAATTTAATCCCCCTGGGGCCTGAGGGTGGGGCCATAACAACAAAAATTAGTACAATCTTTAAATATCTTCTTTACTCCTGGACATCAAGCAGTCAAACTGTTGGCATGATTGTAATTTTAATTAGCTTTGAGTCCTTTACCAAAATTGTGAAATTCTTGGTCCCAGGGTCAGGAGTGCTAGTGTTAGGACTGGGCTAAAAAGATTGTATAGTGAAAATGCATCATTACTTTGAAAATCTTCTTCTCTGCTCCTGCAAATTAAATAAGCTAACCAAGTTCATACAGTGAAACTCATTTAGTAGAAACATGGATATTGCGAATTTACGGATATTGCGAAGTAATCTTTGATCCCCAATTATATAAAGTTATTTCTTATATGGATATAACGAATTATGGATATAGCGAAGTATTTTCATAGGTCCCAATAAGTTTGTTATAACCTAGTTTTGCTTTAGTTATGTTGAATAAGATTGCCTTTTCCAAAATTGTAAATTTCATGGCCCCAGGGTCAGGGGCTCCGGTGTTAGGGTGGGGCTCTATTGATTATATAGTGGAAATGCATAAATTCTTTAAAAATTTTCTCCTCTGCGCTTGGATATTTAACCAAAGAACTATGTACATAGTTATGATAAGAAAAGATGCTTCTTCTTAATTTGTAAATTTCATGGCCCCTGGGTCAGAGGTTCTGGTGTTAGGGCGGGGCTCTAAGGGTTATTTAGTGAAAATGCATTAATTCTTTGAAATTCTTCGGTATTAAACAAACAAACAAAGTACATAGTTATGATCACCAAGAATGCCTCTTCTAAAATTGTGAATTTCATAGCCCATGGATGAGGGGTTCTAGTATTAGGCAGGGCTCTTTAATTGTTTATATAGTGAAAATACATTATTCTTTAAAAAATCTTCTTCTCTTCTCCTGGGTATGAAATAAACTAACCAAGTACATGGTTATATTAAATAAGTCTGCCTCTTCCAAAATTATGAATTTCATGGTCCCAGGGTCAGGGGCTCTGATGTTAGTGCGGGGCTCTAAGGGTTATTTAGTGAAAATGCATTAATTCTTTGAAATTCTTCGGTATTAAACAAGCAAACAAAGTACATAGTTATGATGACCAAGAATGCCTCTTCTTAAATTGTGAACTTCATAGCCCATGGATGAGAGGTTCTAGTATTAGGGCAGGGCTCTTTGATTATTTATACATTGTATAGTGAAAATACATTATTCTCTTAAAAATCTTCTTCTCTTCTCCTGGGTATGAAATAAACTAACCAAGTACATGGTTATATTAAATAAGTCTGCCTCTTCCAAAATTATGAATTTCATGGTCCCAGGGTCAGGGGCTCTGGTGTTAGTGCGGAGCTCTGTTGATTATATAGTTAAAAATGCATAAATTCTTTTTAAAATTCTCCTATGCACCTGGGTATAAAACCAATGAACTATGCACATACATAGTTATGGTGAGGAAGAATGCTTCTTCCCAATTTGTGAATTCACAAGTACATAGTCTGAAAATAAAGTAATACTTTGAAATCTGCTCTTTGATATTAATCACCCATTTCTGATGAAATGAAATAAAAAAAATTCCAGTATTTGGAAATATGTGGCCCCAGGATCAGTGGTTCTTCTGGGTTGATGTGCAGAACAGGTGGTTATAAAGTGGAAATGCATTTTCTCTCTATTATTCTGATCTGCCTTTGGGTATTAAGAAACCAAAATAAGAATGCTGAGTGTATAGTTATAATAAACAATGGTGCCTCTCTCAAAATTTTGAATTTCAAGGCTTTTGGTTTAAAATAGTCAAACCAAATTCAGTTGTTGGAAAGTAGTTACATGATACTCAGGTGACCTATAAGGCCCGTGGGCCTCTTGTTTTTTAAAGTGCGTCAAAATATGGCTGAAATATTGCCGACTCGGCGTAAAACAGTAATGATCAAGCAAAAGTGTGTTGTAATAGAGTATGTACTAAAACCTGTTTAAGATAAATCACATTAATGTATTGATCATGTATTTTATGTTAAATCTCCAGGGCCACCCTTAATGCCAATGAACTTTACAGTGGTCTGTGAAAATTCCTTGTCCATAAACTTATCGTGGATTTCTAACTTTAATGGTGGAGATGATCAAAGTTTTCAGTATCGTATTCAACTAATGAGCATTTGACAGAATCCCATAAAGTTCTTGAAACAAATATAAATGATGAAGGGTATGGCAATCTCACAGTTACACACCTACTATTGAACTGCAAGGGGATTTATGGTTTAGAATAAATGCCTCTAACAAATTTGGAAGTACTACATCAGATGTTATATATTGCAGTGCAGTTAAAAGTATGTATTTTTAGACATTGCAAAGGGAGGTTAGGTATCAATATATTTCAATTTTATTAGTAATCTAAACTATCAATTATTCATGTGTGCATTACAACGATTTTCAGAATTAGTGAGTAAAATTCACAAACATTACATATTTATATATGTATATATAATATATCACTCCTGTTGTATTTACAGAAGTCACTGTTTCTTCGGATAATCTTCCAATAATTGCTGGGGCAGCTACAGGCGGACTGATTTTTGCTGGTTTGGTTATTCTAGGGATTGTATTTTTTCTGCGAACAATGAAAGAATCAAAAGGTAAAGAAAATTTTCACATTTTTTTTCTCAGTAGGACAGCATTCTTCTCGCTTGAACCAAAGCTAAATTGAGCTTTTCTGATCGAAAGGTGTCTCACATCCATCTTTTATATGTTTTATGCCATCTATCATACATTGTAAACCTCTTAAACCTTCAACTTCTTCAGATCTATTGAGCCAATTTAAACCAAACTTTTCACTAAACATCTTTCATATAAAGGGAGTTAAGTTTATTCAAATGCAGAACCATACACTCTTTCAAGGGGTGAAATTAATAATTATTCATATTATTATGTAATTGGTTTAAATGTCTTGATCACCAATATTTCCGTGTAAGTGACTAATTTATGACTTCATGAAATATTCTACCCAGGAACAACAAGACCATAATTTAAGGTAAATTAGTGACAAGCAAGTTGATGAAATAAGAATATCAGCCATTTCGTTTAAAGTCTTCATTTCATAAGTTCAATGGACAATACAATGAACTTGTCAGCAAATACAATTTTTCATTGAGTCAAATGCTGACTGACGTTTTTCATACTTATTGTTATTCTATTATTTTTACTCTGAATTGACGACGAATTTTTCCGTTATTTTTAGCTCTTCATGGGCCATTTGTCATAGGGTATCCTTGGCTTAAGGGCTACCATTTATACTAAAACTAGGGGTGGGACCCAAAACAAGGTGAGATAATCAGAAAAATAAAACCAAAAGTACTGGTTGCTAAAAAATCTTCTTCTCCAGAACCACCAGGCAAATTTTCACCTAACTTACATACAAGAGTCAGGATATGTTGAAGATTAAAAATTGTTCAAGTCATGGCCCTTGGTCAAAGGGCGTGGTCTCAATGTCAATTCAAAGTTGACAAAGATTTACACATAATAAAAACATTGTTGTTTTGCTTACTAAAAGACTAGGATCGTTAAATCTTGTAAGTTGATGTATCTTAGGACTTCACATCATGTTAACACAAAAGTAGATCACAGTGACCTTTTTTTTTAATTTCACGGGATTTCATTTTCAAATTGATTTGGAGGCATATTTTAGACACTTTAAGGCCTATGATCCTCAAACTTTGTCAGTTCATGCATCTTTGGTCCTAAAACAATGTTGACTTAAAAGTAGGTCACTGTGACCTACTTTTTGAATTTGATGGCTAATCTTTTCTAAAACATTTAATCCAATTATTTCAGACAATGAGAGGTGTATCCGAAGGCTCAAGTGAGCCTTTCTGATCACATTTTGTCCATTGTCCGGCCCTCCGTCTGTCTGTCCATCTGTAAACTTTCACATTTTCGGGCTCGGTGAATATTGTACTCCTCAGATGGCTAAATCATTGCATTGACCTAAAAAACAGCAATAATTGTATGTTGTAACACAAGAAAACCAGTCTTAAAACGAACATCAAACAGTCATTAAACTATAGTATTTCAAAATATACATGTGCCGACAGTAGTATTTTAAATTGGCAGGGAATATGTTTCAAATTTCAATCTTAATAATTTCAAGTATACTATATTCCCATTATATATTTACTTTTTTCTGCAGGAATGCAAAAATCAGATCTAGAAATGATAGGGAAAAATATAAAAACTTCTTGGAAATACTATGTGACTCTTTGCCTTTGGCATGCTCGGTGAAACGAGATTTCCACACTTCCGCTGTGTTGAGTTATTTTGATTGACAGGACAAGTACGTGGACTTCTTGTGAACAGTGTGAAGTTGAAGATGGAAAATAAAAGCAGATTATTATTGTCAAATGGATTTGTTAATCTTAAAAATTTGATTACTTTTATTGCTTGGAATATTTCGGGAAAATAATAATAATTTTTACCTTGATACAACAGATATCTGATAATGGAGGGGATCTCTCTCTCTCTCTCTCTCTCTCTCTTCTCCCCGTACATTTCAAACTATGACAACTTATTTAGTTTTGATAATTTGAATGCCCCTTTCCATCATCTTGTCCGAGTATAATCACTGCCGGGAAATGTCTAAAGATACATGTAGAAGTTAGCAAAAATAATCATCATAAAAGAATAATCAAAGTACTCAGAAGTACTGAAAGCCGGGCTCATTTACAGGGTAATGAGCAAAGACCGCAATGACAGTTTAAAAACAAGCTGATTCAGACATTGAAAAGATGATTATATATATCTATATTTGTCATATATAGCATTAAAAAGCTTTAAAATTAATTAAAATGTAGCTATAATTTAACAGCGTAAAATATGTGTCACATGTATCATTTCGGGGTTTTACATAAATGAACACTGATGCAGCAAGATTATTTAAGGTCAAACAATCATGCACAGATGGGTCTTCAGCGGGGAGTTTTGCATCAAAGCGTACATCAAGTCATTAATGGTGTTCCCCGCATTTGTATTAGTACACCCTTTATTTATAGAATATGACACAGACAGGGATACTTGATGAAAACCTTTCGCATATTTTAACCAAATGATTAATCATCGAAAACGATATAAAGTATTTTATTATAATTATTTTTTGACAATTTTAGATAACTATGAAAGTTTAATTCAGTGTTTGTATTGCCTCAAAGGTGATTGCGCAGAGGTACTGTATTCTAACTCGTAAATTTAATTTGACGGTGAAAAAGCAGCATTTTCTGTTGCTCACCGTCGCAATAGCTGGGCATTTCTCTACGAGAAATGACCCCGGCTAAAAATGACACATAAATATAGAATATTTTGAATTAGAATTTTAAAATACAAGTGCTATGGCCATTTGTGTGGTGTGCAGTGTGCGTTAACTTTATAGAATATGGGCCATAACTCAAGAGCCCCTTGGCCAATCAGTGTCAAATTTGACACAGGGTATCCTTGGCCCAAGGGCTACCACTTTTACTAAAACTAGGGATGGGACCCTTAAACAAGGGGAGATAATCAGGAAAACAAATTAAAAGGACTGGTTGCTAAAAATTTCTCCAGAACCACCAGGCAGATTTTCACCAAACTTACGTACAAGGATCAGGATATGTCAAAGATTAAAAATTGTTCGAGGCATCACCCTGGGGTCAAGGGCTGTTCAAGGTCACTTCAAAGTTGACCTAAATTTACAAATAATAAAACGTTTATATTTTGCTTACTATTAGGATTAGGATCATCAAATCTTGTAAGTTGATGCATCTTAGGACTTCATATCATGTCAACTCAAAAGTAGGTCATGGTGACCTACTTTTTAAATTTTGTGGGCATTTGATTTGAAGGCATATTTTGGACACTTTAAGGCCTATGATCATCATACTTTGTCAGTTGATGCATCTTGGGTCCTTGAACAACGTCAACTTAAAAGTAGGTCACCGTGACCTTACTTTTTGAACTTTATGACTAATCCTTTTTAAAATTTGATTTGTTTTAAAGGCATATGTTGATTACCTTCAGACGAAGGATCATCAAACTTGGTCAGCAGATGCATCTTGGGACTCTGAAAATTAACCAAAATGTAGGTCACTTAACCTACTCTCAACATCTTATGGCTATATTTTAGTATCTTAGGTATTTATTGGCTTAGAATCATCAAACTTTGTGAGTTTATGCATCTTGGGTTTTCGGAGAGTAACAATCAAAAAGTAGGTCACAGTGACCTACTTTCGACATTTCATGGCTTTATTTAATTATCTTAGGTATTTATTGGCTTAGAATCATCAAACTTTGTGAGTTGATGCGTCTTAGGATTTTGGAGAGTGACGACCAAAAAGTAGGTCACTTTGACCTACTTTTACTTTTCATGGCTTTATTTAAATATCTACAGTACTTATTGGCTTAGAATCATTTAACTTCATCAGTTGAAGCATTTGGGTTTTCGGAGGATGATGTCCAGAAAATTGGTCACGATGACCTAATTTTTGACATTTCATGGCTTTATTTAAGTATCTATAGTACTAACTGGTTTAGAATCTTCTAACTTTGTTTTTTGATGCATCTTGGGTTTTTAAGAATGTCGACCAAAAGGTAGGTCATTGTGACCTACTTTTGAATATTTAGGTACTTATTGGCTTATAATCATCAAACTTTTTATGTTGATGTATCTTGGGTTTTCAAAAATCGTCTACAAAAAATTAGGTCGCAGTGACCTGCTTTTGACATTGTATGGCTATATTTAAGTATCTTTAGTACTTATTAGCTTAGAATAATCAAACTTTGTCAGGAGATGCATTTTGGGTTTTCCAAGGATGTAGACAAAAAAGTAGGTCATGATGACCTACTTTTGACATTTTATGAGTATATTTAAGTATCAGGTACATATCGACTTAGAATCATCAAACGTTTTCAGTTGATGCATCTTGAGTTTGGGGATCTCAAACCAAAAATTACATATTGACACTTTTGACATTTTATGGCTATATTTTTATATTTCAAGTACTGGTTGACCTAGAATTGTTAAACTTTGTCAGTTGGGGCATCTTTGGTTTTCGGAAAATTCAACCAAAAAGTAGGTCATTGTGACCTACTTTGAATATCTCAGATACTTATTGGCTTAGAATCATCAAACTTTGTCAGTTGATGTATCTTGGGTTTTCAAAGAATGTAGACAAAAAAGTTGGTCGCAGTGACCTACTTTTAAATATCTCAAATACTTATTGGCTTAGAATCTTCAATCTTTGTCTATTAATGCATCTTGAGACCTCAGAAAACTTCAATCTTAAAGTAGATCACTGTGATGTACTTATTGGGTTTTTTTTATAGCTTTATTATAAAAAATATCTTCAGTCCTAATTGGCTAAGAATCATCAAACTTTGTCGGTTGATGGAATTTGGGTCTTAGATATTAGGGTTAGAGGCTTCAAATAGAAATGATGACTGTACAATTTATTAGAAGAGCGATTCAAGGCCCTTGGGCCTCTTTTATGCAATACATCAACAGACAATTGTGAATTTAAAAGAAAAAGTTATTTTACTCATAATCGCCTTGGCACGGAAATACATGTTTGGTTGTTTCAACTGGGTACAATGTAATTCATTCATTCTATAAGTAGTAGTTTTATTTCCTAAAGTCCACAATATTTTATTACTAAAAAGAATAAGCATATTTACTATATATGTAGATTAATTTATTTTTAAACTACACACGATCGGTAACAAATACACATGTTTTATGGAGATTAAAGTCATGTTATTAAATTATCGATTTAACATAGGTATGTGCAGGAAAAAAAAATGCTTTTATTATTTATTTTATCTATTGTTGATTTATATTTAACACCTGAAATTAGAATTATAGAATAATAGAATAATATCAATAAAAAAGGAAAAGGTGGAAGCATTCCGAATAAGTCGTTCATGTTGCTTTCACCGTTCATTCACCGTTCACTTTCTGCTCACGTTCGCGCTCCGTTTGCATTCTGCGTTCACTCACCGTTCACACATTGTTCACCAAGTTGCGTTCAGTGTTCGCACATCGTTCACTCACCATTCATTCACCGTTCGCTCAGCGTTCCTTCACCGTTCAAGTGGGAAAGTAAACGCTTAGGGACTGTAGTGTAGATTCTAAATTATTCAAATCTTGACCCCATATGGTAGGGCGGGACAACAATTGGGAATCAAATTTTTACATAGAAATATATAGGAAAATCTTTGAAAATATTCTTCTCAAGAACCACTGGGCCAGAAAAGCTGAAACTTATGTGCACATGGAAGCATCCTGGGGTAGTGTAGATTTCAAAATGTCTTATGATCAGTGGGGTAGGGTGGGGTCGCAATATGTATTACAAGGGGGAAATCTGGTAAAGAACAGAATGGTCAAAGCTTATCAGGTGAGCGATGTGGCCCATTGGCCTCTTGTTTTTTTAGGTCACTTGAGTTAACTCAGGTGACCTATTGCTATCCGTTTTCGTCCGTCGTCTGTCGTCCGCCGTCCGTGCGTTAACATTTGAACATTTTCAGCCCTTTTTTGCAACCACTGAACCAATTTCAACCAAATTTGGCACAAAGCATCTGTGGGTGAAGGGGAACAAAAATTGTGAATTTCATGGTCCCTGCCCCCATGGGGCCTGAGGGGTGGAGCACAAACTACTAAAATTAATGAAATCTTTAAAATTTCTTTACTTCTGGACATCAAGCAGTCAAACTGTTTGCATGATTGTAATCAGCATTGAGTCCTCTACCAAAATTGTGAAATTTATGGCCCTGGGATCAGGGGTTCTAGTTTTAGGGCGGGGCTAAATAAGTATATAGTGGAAATGCATTATTTCTTTGAAAAATCTTCTTCTCTGCTCCTGGTTATTATATAAATCAACTAAGTACATAGTTATGTTGAGCAAGAATACCTTAACCAAAATTGTGAATTTTATGTCCCCCGGGTCAGGGGTTCTGGTGTTAGGGTGGGGGTTTTGATTATATAGTGAAAATACATGAATTCTTTGAAAATCTTCTTCTCTGCTCCTAGGAATTAAATAAACTAACTAAGTACATAGTTATGATGAACAAGAATGCCTCTTCCAAAATTGTAAATTTTATGGCCCCAGGTAGGGGGTTTTGGTGTTAGGGCGGAGCTCTTTTGATTATATAGTGAAAATACATTAAATCTTTGAAAATTATCCTCTCTGCTCCTGGGTATTAAACAGATGAACTACCTATATAGTTATGATGAGCAGGGGCCACAATCTTCTAGAATTTTGAATTTCAAAGCCCCAGGGTCAGGTGTATCATAAAGGGGGAGTGTACCTATATACTGAAAATGAATGAATTGTTTGAAATCTGCTCCTTGGTTTTAATCAAATATTTTTGAAAAGCAAGAATGCCTTTTCAAAAATTGTGCAATGTGTGGATCTAGGCCTAAGGGTCAGGGGTTCATGTGTGGTAGAGGCACTACTGATTATTGCTGAATATTACTGATTAGTTGGAATGCATTTTTGTTCCCCTACCCTGCCTGTGTGTATTAAGTAAACAAACTAAGCAACTGCTAAGTGTATTTTTATGATAATCAATGGTGCCTCCTTCAAAATTGTGAATGCCATAGTATCTGGCTTAAAACATGAATCAAATTCAATCACTGGAAAGTTGCATAATGCTCAGGTGACCCATAAGGCCCATGGGCCTCTTGTTTTTTTTTTACCTTGGTTGTATTTGTCATCATGACGCTTTATTACCAACTTTAAATTTGACGTCATGATAAACATTCAATTGAAATTTCAAAAGTTATCTTCCCAGGTACGTCTTTAAGTAATCAAAGTAAGCATGCCAAGTGTATACTAGTTATAATATACAAGGGTGCCTCTTAAAAAAATGTGAATTTCATGGCCTTTGGTATAAATCCCAAACCAAATTCATTTGTTGGAAAGTTGTTACATGATATTCAGGTAGCCTATTAGGTTCGTGGGCCTCTTGTTGATTTTTATGCCCCGCCATCAATATTGCCAGGGCATATAATGTTTGTCATCTCCGTCTTCCGTCCTTCCATCTGTCCTTTCATCACACTTTGCATTTAGCTCTGTTCAAAGCTAAGTTTCAAAGAAACTATCCAAGATATTTTTATCAAACTTCATATGCTGACAGACATTAATGAGAGCTATGCAACTACATAAACATTTTCTGACCTTGACCTTTCCTTTGACCTTGACCTCACTTTTCTTAAATTAGTGTTTAGCTTAGTTTTAACCATACCATTCAAGATGGTGTTATCAAACTTCACATGTTGATACATACTGATGAGAGCTATTCAACTGCATCAACATTTTTGACCTTGACCTTTCCTTTGACCTTGACTTCACTTATCTTAAATTAGTGTTTTGCTCAGTTTTAAAGATACCATTCAAGATATTTTTATCAAACTGCTGTTACATATTGATGATAGCAATTCACTGCATCAACATTTTTGACAGTGATCTTTACTTTGACCTTGAGTTCACTTTTCCTAAATCAGTTTCAAACTTCATATGCTGATACATGCTGATGTAAGCAATTCAACTGCATCAACAATTTTGGACCTTGACCTAAATTTGACCTCACTTTTATCAAATTATGTTTAAGTCAGTTTAATTAAAGACAACATTCTAAATATTTTTACCAAACTTTATATGTTGATATATATTGATCAGAATTATGTATCTGTATCAGTATTTTTTACCTTGACCTTTGCTTTGACCTTGACCTCACTTTTCCTAAATCAGTGTCAAACTTCATAAGCTGGTACATACTGATGTAAGCAATTCAACTGCATCAACAATTTTGACCTTGACCTTTTATTTGACCTTGACCTCACTTTTATCAAATTGTGTTTAAGTCGGTTTAATTAAAGACATCATTCTAGATACGTCCTATCAAACTTTATATGTTGATACATATTGATGAGAGATATACAACTGCATCAACATTTTTAGCTCACCTGAGCTGAAAGCTCAAGTGAGCTTTTCTGATCACCCGTTGTCCGTCATCCGTCCGTCCGTCTAGCTGTCCGTCCGTCCGTCTGTCTGTAAACTTTTCACATTTTCGACTTCTTCTCAAGAACCACTGGGTTAATTTTAACCAAACTTGGTACAAAGCATCCTTGGGTAAAGGGGAATTCAAATTGTTAAAATCAAGGGCCACGACTCCTTCCAAGGGGAGATAATCAAGAAAATACAAAAATAGGGTGGGGTCATTAAAAAATCTTCTTCTCAAGAACCACTGGGCCAGAAAAGCTGAAACTTATATGAAAGCATCCTTGGGTAGTGTAGATATGAAATTGTTGAAATCATGGCCCCCTGGGGTAGGGCGGGGCCACAATAGGGAATCCAAGTTTGACATAGAAATATATAGAGCAAATCTTTAAAAATCATCTTCTGAAGAACCACTGGGCCAGGAGAGCTGAAACTTATGTGGGAGCATCCTTGGGTAGTGTAAATATTAAATTGGTAAAATTATGACCTCCGTGGGTAGTGTGGGGCCACAATAGGGAATCAAAGTTTTACATAGAAATATATAGAACAAATCTTTAGAAATCTTCTTCTCAAGAACCACTGGGCCAGGAAAGCTGAAACTTATATGGAAGCATCCTTGGGTAGTGTACATATTAAATTGTTAAAATCATGACCCCCAGGGGTAGGGCGGGGCCACAATAGGGAATCCAATTTTTACATAGAAATATATACATGTATATAGAACAAATCTTTAAAAAAGATCTGCATCACCCAAGTTACTCAGGTGAGCGATGTGGCCCATGGGCCTCTTGTTTACCTTGACCTTTGCTTTGACCTTGACCTCACTTTCCTGAATTAGTGTCAAACTTCATAAGCTTATAGATGTTGAGGTAATCATTTCAAGTGTACCATCATTTTTTAACGTGACCTTTCATTTGACCTTGACTTCACTTTTATCCATTTGTGTTTAAGTCAGTTTTAAAGAAACCATTTATAATATTTTTCAACTTCATATGCTGATACTTACTGGTAAGAGCTTTTCAACTCAATCAACAGTTTTTGACCTTAGCATTTCCTTTGACCTTGACCTCACTTTAATGAAATTAGTGTCAAACTTAATATGCTGATACATACTAATGTAAGCAATTCAACTGCATTACTATTCAAGATATTCTGATAAAATTTCATATACACTAATAGAAATTTTCAAGTTGCTTTACTAATATACCCTTGGCGGGACATTCATGTCTAATGGACATATTTTTAGTTAAAATCCATGATTGTATTAATTTTTGCTAGGGTTATTTTAAAAATTGTTTTTTCATACTAGAGTAAAACAAAATAATACTAAGGAAAACAAAGTAAAAGAATTCAAAGAGTATTGATTAAAATATTTAACTTAATTATTTAAGGAAAAAAGAAAAATCTCCATCAAAGGTAAGATACAACTTCTTTTAAAGAAAAGCTTCATTTTAAGGTATGTAACAATTACAGGATCTTCATAACTTGGTTCTAGAACAAGATGTCAGAGTCAGACTGATGTCAAGTAGAAAAGAAACTCAATAAAGATAAAATATTGCTTTTTCTATACGGAACTGTAAAAAGTTTTGAATGTGAATGAAAATATTTATACCTCCTTAGTGTATCTTTATGAAGGTAAATTGTTCTATTAATAGAAATTATTAAAAAGATTTATCATTTCTTTTATCGTATATGCTGTGAAAATATTTTATAGGAACAATAATAAGAGCAATGTATTTTCTCTCTCCTTGACCCATTTAGCTATAATTTATAACCATTTGTTAAATTAAAACGTAGAATTGGAACCTTTTTAAAGCATATATTTTAAAATTATCTTGCATCGTAATTTTTGTTGGGGCCTTTGAGGTTACATTCTCAGCTTTGTCTAGTTTCTGAATTTGAAGTACACAATGTGCATGTTTTTGAATTACAGTTTGTTTTGAAAACCTTCCTTTTTTAAGATTAACGTACAGCAAGAAGTTTCTGCATGTTTATAATAAGCAGTTAGCTTAGGAAATATGACATATAGACCCCTACTTGGGATAATTGGTCACACATTGAAAATTCATTAAACTATTCTATGATAAACAAAATAGTCACTTGATTTCAGGATGTGACTTAATCAATTGTAATATTTTTTGAAATGCACATCTTTAAAAATGTTGTTTTTCATAATTTGACATGAGAATCATGCAATATGATACCAAATTATAAAATGCATGTTACCTTGTATTTAGTTTCTATTCCAGACTCATGGGGAAGCTTTGTTGATAAAATGCATTAATTAAGAAATGTCTTTATTTGTTGATATGTTATGGGCCTTTTTGTCACTAAAATAAAAAAAAATTAATAAATTATCTTAACAATCCTTTTTAAATTACTTACAGTGATACAATTCTGACGGAAGAAAGGGAATCTGATGAAGGTATTTATACTTACTAAATTTCCTTATTTTGAACTCATCTGTAATAAAACAAAGAAGCAAACTGTAACTAAAAGTTGAACAGAATCATGTTCTACTCTAAATCCATTCATTACTTTCAAATGAAAGTACAATAAACAACAAACACACCATTCGGACATAGCAACTACAGGCAGTAGCTTTATTTGTACAGTATACAGAACATATGCAAAATATGAAAATCAATATGTATATACAAGTTTATGTTGGATTGAATAAATCATGATAAAATTTAAACTTTATCGTGCTTTACGTGTCGTCCTAAACTGGTATTTAAACCACTATTCACCTCTTATATAGCCTTGCTAACGAGACCGGTTCTAATGAACCACGTGATATTCACCAGGTATTCGAATGAAAACCTTGTAATTCCGAAAAAGTAATTCATTATCACACCAAGTAGAAATTGATTTCTGTCTAATTCATTCCTCAAATGAAAGAAATCAAATTTCTACTCTAAATCCATTCATTACTTTCAAATGAAAGTACAATAAACAACATACACACCATTTGGACATAGCAACGACACGCAGTAGCTCTAAATACAAAGAACGGGAAAATGAAAGTATAAAATCATTGATTTTAAATTCAATCCAACAAAATTCATTTAAATCATATCAACGTCAATCAACATTTTAAACACAATAAATCAGAAAATTTTAAAGAATTTTTTTTATATGTTTTGAAATAATTTAATAATCACAAAAGAAATACATATACATGTATATCCATCCTAAACAAATTCAATACACTGCCGTCTTTTGAAAATCCATAACACAATTCACCCTGAAATTAATATTCAGAAAAAGCTGAATTCAATTTTGGTGAATCATTTTTAAAATTAGAATTCATTGACAAAATTTCCTTTTTACTCGAAAATCAAAATTCGAAAAATCTTCAGTTTCTGTTATCAAAACTTTTTAGTATTGATACTAAGGCCAGCATTTTTTTGTTTTTAGGTTTACAAACCCGCCGCTCAAGATTTTGAATTTTCAGAAAAAAATAAAATTGAGAAAAACAGATTTTTTTCTTTCCGATGTCAAATTTGAGTCGGGATCGAGATTTCAAATTTACGAACTCGTACTTCCGGTTTTAAATGAACATGGCAGGTAAGGTAATGAAGGGAGATTTGTGTCAAGTCCATAGCAGCACTAAAGCTTGGTTTAATGTAAATATTTATCGATAGGAGTGCCATTCAAAACGTTTCACCCGTTCAGAGAACAATAAAATGCTGACGACTTTGTTGCAAAGTGACGTGTTGGTGAGATAATTATGTATCCGTATTCAAGAGTAACTGTCTGTAATTGTAAATTATTTTCCTCCCACAGGTTTAAAACTGCCCATGGTAGCTATTGTCAGAGACATTGTTTAGGTTTCTGTCATAGCTTACAGTCTTAGCATCATTCTTCAGAAAAGGGTCGCTTATGCATCAGATGTAATGAATAAAACTATGGGAGAAGTTAAGTCCATCTGAGGACGAAATAAACAATAGCCTAAAGAAATAAAATGTTTCAACTATTTAAAAACAAGAATATAAAAATATATACAGGCATGTAGTATCGTTTATGGCAGCCAGAAAAATTAGTTTACACTTAATTGAAAAAAATTCCACCCTACTCCTCAATACTTCTTGGGAATACTCCCTGTCTGTTTTCTGAGAGGAATTATTACTTTTATAGGTCTTGAGTATATTAATATTTTAGAATAATTTCTAACACACATTAAAAACAAAAATGAAGATATATTAAAAGAGATTTTAAAAATTGATTTTTTTTTTAAAAATCTGTATTTTGTCCAACATCAAAAGATTTATATCACTGCCCCCAACTGGTAGATGAGGAAATAAACAATTAAAGGTTGTATTTTCCCCTTTGTAACCCTTATGTGTCCAAGAAGCCTGTTAGGAGAGCATAAAAAAGAAGCAAAAATTAATGTAGAAAAGTCGATAATGTATCCAAAATATAATTTTTTTTTTATTATTTCCTCCTCCTACGGGACTTTTTCATTCTGATGTTTGTAAACCTAAAAATAAAAAAATGCTGGCCTAAATATTTAAATCTCTTTTTTGTAAACTCAATCAAGCCAATTAACAACACTGCAAATATTGCAGAATTATCAATACCCATATCAAAAAATAATACAGAAAAGTATATTTTTAATATACTTTTAATACATTCATTTCTGTACTTTCTTAAAATAATACAGAAAAAATATATTATTTTCCTATCACAAAAAAATGGGTATATCATTTTTGTATTAAAATCTGACTTTGATATTTTGCAGTGTATTATTTTTGTATTTTTTTGAACTTAGATTATTTTCTGTGTATTATTTTTGTATTTTTAAGGACTTAGTTTTTTCCAACTGTATTTTTTCTGTATCAATTTTGAACTTAGTAATTTTACAGTAAAATCTCTACAGCTAGAGTGTATCATATTTGTATTAAATTTGGACTTAGTAATTTAACAGAAAGTTTGACTGTATTATTTTTATATTAAATTTGGACTTTTTAATTTTACAGAATTTGTCTGTATTATTTTTATATTAAATTTGGACTTTGCAACTTTTCAGAAAAGTCCCTACATTTAGACTATATTATTTTTGTATTAAATTTGGACTTGGTAATTTTACAGGAAGATGGTCAGTATTTTTTTTTTATTTTGTATCAAATTTGATTTTATTACATTTACAGAAAATTCCATAGTTAGTCTGTATATTTTGTTTGTTTTCTTTTTTTTCTTTGGGGAGGGGGGGTTTAGGTTAAATTAATATTGTATTTATGAACTTTATAAATTTTAGAGAAATTCCTTGCAAATATTCTGCTGGTTTTGGATACCGGTACTAGTTTGTAGCATTTTAGAACATTTCTTTTTTTTATTTATTTATTTATTTAAAAAGTATCTTGGTATCCAAATCGAACTTAAAAATTAATTGGTACTAAAATTTTTGTTAATTCCATTCAGTTATATCAATGGTAATCTAAAGAAATGTCTCAATATTCAGCTGATTAAGTTGAAGATTTTACAGAGGGTTTACATTTTTACAGCGGGTTTACATCCAATCTCGTGCAGCAGGTGGCCTTGCAGGCTAAGAAATGATTGCATCATACTACAATGTAGAAATCACGTGATTTACCTGTGCACATGGAAAGTCCCAACTATCAGTATTTCTGTACATACGATGTTTCTTCAGATTTGAGATATTTTGCAGTAATGAATGACAATTATATTTTAAATTAGCCTTAATGAATTTTTTGAAACGGTCTTACAATGTACAAGAGTAGAAAGTGTTGTGAAATCAGTAGATTTACTACCGTAATTGGCTGAAGCCAATGTTGTGTACACGTGCGCTTGTCACTTGATGATTATCTCTCCACACCCCTTCAGACAATTAAATTGTGTACCGACTCCAAAACATTGTTTTTACAGTAATGGGGCTAATTATTTCCTGTTCTTTTAATTGCTTGAATTATTTTCTTTCTTAAAAATCGGGGATCAGTTTAGAATCTTTCGTATAGTGTTGATTATGACACATTGAACACTTGTTAAGTGTAATTTTACCTTATCTTATACTTATCGGCCTCTTGTTTAAATAATTGAGAGCCGGTTAACAAATGAAATACTAAGTATGTTAAAACAATATCACAATAACTTTGCTGAAATAAAATTAACTTAAGTAAATGGCGACGTACTATATCAAAATCTGTGTATTCTACAAAAAAAAAAATAAAAATAATTAACTCTTCTTCGCAACATTATCATGATTATCTTACGTAATTAATACAGTGCATTTAGGATTATTTACTGAAGACATACATGGCTGATGCCTAGTTCTATTTTGGATAATTTCTGAAAATGCTTGTAATAAATAACTGACGATTTCTATTTCACCGCGACTGTAAAGCTGCAAATATGTTTGTATATTCCCCGCGTTATATGATCCTAATTGTTGAACTTTATGGTCTATTTCACAGGTCAACTTGAATAATTATAAAAAGAAGAAAAAAACAAACAAACAAACAATATGGCCGACCGGAAATCTCTCTGTTTGTAATCGGAAAATTACGTAGGAACAAAAATGTTATGATTTGAAGAAATGATTCCTAATAATTATTCCTATTGTTTAAAGGATTCTGTACTATTTTTAGACTTCGTAAATACATCTTTTTAAACTGTTTAAAATATTTTCTATTTAAAAATCGGAAATCTTCGTAAATATCGAACAATTTGATTGGTCAGAATTTAAATTTTTTCTTAGCTTTTCTCTGATTGGCTAACGGAAATTACCCACGCCATTTTGAAAAATAGATTGACGAGCCATGCTAAGAGAGTTGTTGATGTTTTGAATAAATTAGTGAATATTCGCCGGTAAAATGGATTGAAAAATAGATGCTTAACTTCAGCATGTAAGGATGGATCAGAAAAAAGCGAAAACAGGAGGAGGTTGGCGTTTTTCAAGCACAATGTCCTGGCTTTCCTGGTGTAAACAACGCCACATGCGGTAAGACTAAGAGTTTACACAAAACATCACGGTGGTTTTACTTTTTTAAAAGTGCAATGTAGATTAATAAAGGTATAAGCTTTAATAACCAAATTATAGTAGGTCAAAATAAATGAGGATATATTGGTCTTATTGTGAAAGATAGTTTTGTTATATGCTAGTTTCAACTTCAAGATCGAATTGTATGAAGGACTTTCTATGGCAAGTGAAATTATTCAGATAGACTAAAACTACTTTAAAATTAATTTCACACATGCCATGAAAATGGACTAATAACAGATAAAATCATTTTAATTTTGAAAAGGGGGGGGGGGGAGAATTGCAATAAGCTTCATGGATCTATAGTTTAGTATACTTGTAATTATTTATTTCTATTATGAACATGCAGACAAGAATTTTCTGTCTCTTTATAATAAATAAAGGCATCTGTTTAAACTTGAGACTGCTTTACTTTAGTAGGGATGATCCAGGATTGGGGGGGGGGGGTAAGTAAGAAAGATTTCTTTCACTAAA